TGACACACAGACACACAGACAGGTGAGTTTACCTGTGACACACAGACAGGTGAGTTTACCTGTGACACACAGACACACAGACAGGTGAGTTTACCTGTGACACACAGACAGGTGAGTTTACCTGTGACACACAGACAGGTGTGCTCACCTGGTGGCGGCACGTCTTTGTTCACCCACACTGAGTCCCGGGTGGTTTTGGAGAGGAAAACTGCAGAACCATTTGCTGAGGAGGTTCTGCTTCTGTCAGAACTCACCTGCACAGGTAGAATAAAAAAAGGTCAGAACTCTGAGTCCCCCTGAGGTGGGCTCACAGGATCCAGGCACCTGGTTCTGGTACTGGTTGGGAGCTGGGGTCCTGTGTTTGGGAGTGTCCCACTGCACGGCCACAGGTGACCTGAAGACCCTGGACACGCCCACACTGAAGTCCTGTTGGTTGATGAAAGATCTCTGCAGGTTGTAGGAGGCTGGACCCGGGAAGTCCTGCTGGGTCCGGACCGGCTGGAGGACAGGAGACAAGGAGACAAGGAGACCAGAAGACAAGGAGGTGAGGAGACAAGGACGTGAGGAGACAAGGATAAAGAAGACAAGGTTACAAGGATATAAGGAGGCGAGGAGAAAAAGACGTGAGGAGACAAGGATACAAGTAGACGAGTAGGAAAGAAGAGGAGGCAAGGAGACAAGGAGGTGACGAGGACAGGAGACGAGGAGGTGAGGAGACAAGGAGGTGAGGAGACAAGGAGGTGACGAGGACAGGAGACGAGGAGGTGAGGAGACAAGGAGGTGACGAGGACAGGAGACAAGGAGGTGAGGAGACAAGGAGACGAGGAGGTGAGGAGGACAGAAGACGAGGAGGTGAGGAGACGATGAGGAGACAGTAAATAGTGTCAGAAACTGATCCAGGTTCTGATACTCAGGTCAGATGAGTTCTGATTTAAAGATGACTTAAACAGTTTGTCTGAAAACATCTGGATCCTCTGATGACAGGTGAGTGAACACCTGGACTCACCTTGGACTTTATAAATCCACATGTTCCTTTCTTTGAGAAGGAAGGACTGAAGAGTTCACAACTGGACACACAGTCATAGCAGGCTGGACCCGGGCCAGGGTTCTGATCCACAACCAGAGATTATTTTACTGACAGCCTTTACATTTATTTACAGCTGATGTATGTTGTTTACAGATTATTGTTTACTGTTTATATTGTTTACAGTTTATATTGTTTACAGATTATATTGTTTACAGTTGATTTTGTTTACAGATTATTGTTTACAGTTTATATTGTTTACAGTTTATATTGTTTACAGTTTATTTTGTTTACAGATTATTGTTTACAGTTTATATTGCTTAAAGATTATATTGTTTACAGATTATTTTGTTTACAGCTGATTTTGTTTACAGTTTATATTGTTTACAGATTTTTTTTCAGTTGATTTTGTTTACAGATTATATTGTTTACAGTTGATTTTGTTTACAGATTATATTGTTTACAGATTATATTGTTTACAGTTTATAATGTTTACAGTTGATTTTGTTTACAGATTATATTGTTAACAGATTATAATGTTTACAGATTATATTGTTTACAGTTTATATTGTTTACAGATTATATTGTTTACAGTTAATATTGTTTACAGATTATATTGTTTACAGATTATTGTTTACAGTTTATAATGTTTACAGTTGATTTTGTTTACAGATTATATTATTTACAGTTGATTTTGTTTACAGATTATATTGTTTACAGATTATATTGTTTACAGATTATATTGTTTACAGTTTATATTGTTTACAGATTATATTGTTTACAGTTAATATTGTTTACAGTTTATATTATTTACAGATTATATTGTTTACAGTTTATATTGTTTACAGATTATATTGTTTACAGTTAATATTGTTTACAGATTATTTTGTTTACAGTTTATATTGTTTACAGTTTATATTGTTTACAGATTATTTTGTTTAAAGTTTATATTGTTTACAGTTAATATTGTTTACAGATTATTTTGTTTACAGTTTATATTGTTTACAGTTTATATTGTTTACAGATTATTTTGTTTACAGATTATTTTGTTTACAGTTTATATTGTTTACAGTTTATATTGTTTACAGATTATTTTGTTTACAGATTATTTTGTTTACAGTTTATATTGTTTACAGTTGATTTTGTTTACAGATTATATTGTTTACAGTTTATGTTGTTTACAGTTGATGTTGTTTACAGTTGATTTTGTTTACAGATTATATTGTTTACAGTTTATGTTGTTTACAGTTGATGTTGTTTACAGTTGATTTTGTTTACAGATTATATTGTTTACAGTT